TCAATTTCTATTATACTTTATAGATTATTTGTAATTTGTAAGTAACCTGTTTACATTAGTATTTATGCACAAAATAAACTGCAAACTTTTCCTACTTCAAAAGTCATTCAGAATTGCTCTCGATTTTGCTCTGGAATACTAGAGAAAGCCATTTAGGTTATTTTGATTATCGGACAACACGCAACAAATAATTTTCTACAAAATTATATTTGCGCCATTCATTCTCATTGGTCACTGTTCAGTTGTAAGTAGTAGTAAATGATAAAATGATTTTGCATTCTACATTTAATTCCGTTTTTTATCGAAATAACTAAGTTAAGAAATATGTAGGTTACGTTTAGAAACTTTTTACCGTATCCGAAACAAGCTGATGACAAAAGTTATTTTGCTTTTCCTGTTCTTCCGAAGTATCAGGTTGGCGCTTATATCTTTTTAGAGCAAATTGTTTGGCGTTTGTAGCCGTATAACGGAAAAGATACGGTCATTTTCCAAGCTTACATAATTTCTCCCCCTCCCGGCAACTGTCAATTGTGACAAACAGTTTAAAATCAATCAAAATATTTTTATTTTTCTAAGTGTAAAAACAGGTTACTTAGCAAAAAAACATTATATCTGTTTACAATAAAGTATATCACAATACTAGCCCCTTGAACAGTCTGATATAAGGTCTTGAGTCTTCATCTCATATAAGGTCTTAAGTCTTCATCTCATATAAGGTATTGATTATGTTAGCAGAATTCATTTGATTTATATAGTATTAGAGTTAATAATTATAAATAAAAATATGTTAGAAATTTGTAAAAATTTAAGCTTAAGGCTGAAATGGTTATTTTGTTGTAGCTGAATGTTAATTGTTTGCGTTATACCTCAGCATTTATTAGACTTTACATCTTTATTGAAATATTAGTATAAAATTTAAGTTGCCACATTTTTGAGAAACTGTTAACAACCCAAGCCGTGATAATTTCTTCGAAATTCAGTTCTCAGTACGAAATTGCTTCGCAGTAAACTTACTGACATAATTATGATTAGCATCACTTTACTTATCTCAATATTTATTGTATTAGCTTTTCTAGATCACCTGAAAAACACAGAAAATCTTTTATTGTCAGTAAATTTTTACCGAAATTAAATCTACAGATTTTTGCTTTCAAAGTAATAATAATTCCTTATTTTTAAAAGAAATATTGTATAAACACAACATCAACAGCAAAGAGAATTATACTGCATCAAAATGAATTACGTTTTCCTTATACTGAAGATTAAATACTGCTATGGTATTCCAAAAAATTTTCCGTTTGAAAATTTGATTTAAAAAAGAATGCATAATTAGTTTATATGCTTTCGTTAAAAGACTGACTAATTCTTAACTCAGACTTTTTTTTAATAATTCGCGAACATCTTAAGCTTGAATTGTTTTCGATTCTTATTTCTTTTCATGAAAGGCTTTGTTTCCTAATTCTTCTTATGAAAGATACGATCGCATGACTCTTTACAGCTGTTCTGCGTCTCATTTTATCTGTAGTTTCTCGAACAACGCAGAAACATCTACCTAGAAAATAAACTTTGTAGCCGTAGTTTCATTATTTTCTACTTAAATTTTCAGTGCCAATTCCCGAGGAACATTAAACCGTCTTTTAAATTTAAATATATTTAGTTTCTATCGGGCATTTTCTAATGAATTAAAAATAAAACTAAGCGATTGAATTATCCAGTATGAAATGCAGCATTTATTCAAAGCAGTGGCGCTTCAGGTTTATCATAATTTATATCATAAAATGGTTCTTTTATAAATGACAGTTAAATTATACAGAAATACGAACATTTATAATTTAATTATATATTATTTGTAACAAAACATTCACCAGACTCGAATTCAAGAGTATTTAGTAATTGTGTCATTATAAAAGGCATTCCAAAAAGGACAGTACAGGTTTATTTCTCTCTATATGTATCTTAAATATATGTTTACATTTAGAAAGTTTCTCAAAATAAGGTAGTGACTTTTACGAAAACAGTTTCAGTATCGATGCTAACAGGTTTTTCTTAATAAAAGAAAACCTAACTTAACCTTATTCCCGTAAGCCATGCATCCAGATTAGTAATATAATCACAATGCTTTTAAATTAATTACATGAAATTCCATTCCTTCAGAATTTTCAGAATAAACAAAGAATTTACTGACTCAGAGCAATTTTTAGGGTCAAAAGTATTTCAGCAGATTTTAAAATCAGCTGCAGCCTGGATTTGACTGAAATGACGACAAGGCCACGAGGACAATCTAAGCGGGGTAGAGCTTTCGTGAAAGGAAATTTCGTCAGGAAATCCCTCATGCAGCAGCCCGTTCGTCGGAATTAGAATCCGGGTCGACTGCTTGGCCACCGGTGGATCCACCATTGCCGAAAATGTTCTCAGAAAATAATCTCTTTTCTGAGCCAGATCTAAGCCAGTTAAGAAAATGCAGCTAGATATTTTTAGCACCCTGTGTGAATAAGAATTTAAGTAAAGACTTGAATTCTCATAAAACAAAATTCATTCGGCACATATGAAGACCTCAGTAAGCGTATGGAGAAATATTTTATCACAAATAACTGATTGGGGCAATAAAATGTTGGTTTACTTAAGAAATAAAAGTTTGTATTAGTTAAAGTTTCTTCGTGAGTTAAAATAGCCACTGTAAAAATATGTTTACTTCGAATGTTGCTCTTTATGGTATCCTGAATGAATAAATGAAACTTTTTCAGCAAAATTAAAGTCAAAAGGAGTTTGGCTGTGTATAGTAAACAGTTTGCGTTTTACTGATTCATAAATGTTCAGAAAAAGAAATGTAAGCTGTATTTAAGACCTACAGTCATGCAGAATATTTATTTATACTTTAGTTCACTAATAAAAATATAAGTATATGATGTCATTTTTATTTTCGCACACTAATTTAAAGATTCTGTATTTGTAACAAAGTGTGGCAATATATTAGAAATATTCTCGCAGCTTTGTTTCATTTAACTAGACGTACGGTTTAAACCTTGAGCCAGATGTAAACCTCAGTGGGTTATCCAAAATAATATATCTATTAATTATTATTCTTAAGTTTATAACTCCTATCTGATTTGAGTAAAGGTCACGTTAAGCAAAACCGTATACTAGTAGGAATTTTTTCAAATATTTACGCTACTTTTACTATCAGTATATACTGAATATAATAAAACCAAAACACAAAATATTTTATTATTATATAAACTTAATTATTTTAGCGAGTTTCTTTGATCTCGTACGGAAACAACCAAGCGTCCACTCCGAACTGTGTACTAAAGTGTAAATAGTAGAACTTTATGAGAATAATATGAGAAGTTGGCGATAGCTAACATAGTTGCTTTCGCACAAGATTTAAACACACCTATGATAATACTAATTCAGAAGTCAAACAACAAAAATCAGCGTTATATTTACAAAATTTATTAAGTTTATTAAGTTATTTAAGTTTATTAAGTTTATTAAGTTATTTAATTTATTTAAGTTTATTAAGTTTACAAAATTTATTAAGTTTATTATTAAGTTATTTAAGCGTTATTTTTGTTGTTTGACTTCTGAATTAGTATTTATTCGGCGTGTTATTGTGTCTTACCTATGATAATATTAGTAGTTTAAATGCTTTATTAACTTCATGAACACCGAATTTAAAAACAAAAATAGATTTCTACTATTATTATGTTTAAGAAAGTGAACTGCTACAAAAAAAAACACATATGTACGTTTTATGATATTTGACTAACAAAATTACTCCAATTACTTATGGCAATTCACTTTACCACAGATTTCAGTTATCTTTTCAAGTATCCTATTTCGCACGGTATGCGATGTACATTTTCACCACATTTTTGAAATCTGCATACTTCGAATTGTGGACACTACAAGATTCAACTATCATCTAAATCAAATTGCGGCTGTATTTTAGAAGCATTCACTTCTCATAAAATTTGTGTAAATGTTTCAAAAGAAGTGAAACCTGCGGTTTTCTGTCCTCACTCAACTGAGCTGATAACTTGATATTTAACGACATACATATTATTAGTGACAAACCGGAAATATTCTAATCATATAATAATTGTGTGGCGATAAGAGACTATGAATTTTTTTTTATTAGAAGCATATATTTTTAAGTATAAAGAAATTCACATTAATTTACCTTTCTACTTTTATTAACGAAGATATTCGTAAATAAAAATATAAGCATTAATTATATAAATATTAGATTCACTTTTTAGAAGTATCCATTTTTAACTCCCAGCCAGAAAATTTTTACCTTAGCTTGTACTATTAATTTATGAATAAGGCTTGTATCAGAAAAACTGTATCAGAAGAAAAATGGCTTTCTTCTGCTTTGCTTTGTTAAATCTGTAGCCAATATCCAACGAAATGCAAGAAAATATGTAATGCGGCTAATTTATTATGCAAACTAGGTAACTAATTGTACAATCTGAGATTTTGGATTCGGCTTACGCTAATTTTGTTAAATTATTTAGTAGTTGGAATGCCGTAATTTACCACACTGCTCAGTATTTCAGTAAATACGACATGAAAAGTGCAAAAATAATGCATTTGTATGAAAGGTACTAGTACCTCCTAAATTAAAAGCGTAATAATTGTTTTCCTAGTTGAAAATAATATTTAAACTGAAACGAGCTCAGATACTTACACTTGATACCAGAATTCTCTTTACGCGCACAAAAACAATTATTTTTCGAACATAGTTCAATAAGTATCGAATGAATTCATTTCCAGTTACACATAGCGTTATAACATAACAAAGTGCGAACAATTTAACTCCAAGAATAACCGTCTAGTGTCGTTTTTGATATAACGACATTGAAATCAAGGGTATATTCTTACTTAAACATGTTTGAAGTAAACATAATTAGTTTAAAACAGCAATTTAAATTAACATATATTGTTTTAAATAGTAATATACTAGAATTTGTAATTTATTATCATATTGCACATACCTTCTTTAAGTTCTGGATTGTTGTAATGCACTTCTAGCATCACGTAGCGTGAGAATCCAGGTCCTCCGATTGGTAATCCTGCTTCTTCTGGATAAGTGAAAGGCTATTGAAAAACAATACATAGCTTACATGTATCTTAACTGAAAACCAGCGAATAAAAAACGGTAAAATGACAATTATTTTTCATGTTACAACTATGCAATACAATTTAAAAACATCATTGCAAGTCATGAATAGTGTAAAATTTTATTTTTCATGATTTCGGAGGTTGATTTTAAATGGCACTAAAATCACTTCAAGACATTCCAAAGCATTGTTTTATTATACTCACTTAAAAGTACTAGTCAACATTTCTCTAAATTTTAAGAAAACATTCTCAGTAAAATATTTATATATTCTTCAGATTTTTCTTTCTTATCATTTTTAATAAATCTTTTACTGCAGGCCTTAAGAAATGCTTTATTGATTAATTTTACTTAAGAAATGCTGCATTAATAATACTTAACATAATATATAATAATATAATAATATTAAAAATAATTAATAATATAACTATTTAATAATAATAATAATATTAATAATATTATTATACTGCATAATATTAATATTAAGAAATGCTGCATAATTAGTAAAATAATCCCGTAGGTTGTTTTATGTTAAAACCTAAAAGGAGATTAAGTAAAGAGCCCTCATGTTTTTTTCTATGTTTGAATAACTCATTCCAATGACTAAACTAAAACTGTAACGGCCCAGATTAGATTTAAAGGCTTATTAGCATTACAATCTGAATTCTTCACCTAGCTTTTGTTTTTTATGGTCGTTAGAAACGAAGCAACATAATGTTAAAAATAAATGATTATTTCATGAAATATCTAGCTAATCTGTTTCTCACAAACGTTTTCAAATTTTGATGATTAAACTATTTCTTTTTTTTTTTTTTTTTTTTTTTCGAGTGTTCAGACGCTTATAAAACTAGTCGGCATCTACTTTAGAAAAATAGCTATACCTAATATAGCCATTCTTTTCTGAATTTTCAGTCAAATAAAAGCTCTCGTAATTTTTTGTAATGCAATAACTAGTGTTATCATTTACTCTATATATAAAATACAAGGCAGAAAAATAATAATTATGGCAGTTCCAACCGAAAGAGGTATCCAAATTAACTGGCCGCTGCAAATGTTTGAAGTGACCGTTTTATTCCAGCTCTCATTGTTGATACACTAACTTATATTGTTATACATCGTTTAGTACTGATACTATAACCCTAACAGGCATGTAGCTATTTATAGCTCTATCTGAGGTAGTGCAACAAAATTATACGAAGGCTTCAAAACAACATTTTTATTTAAAAAGAACTTTGAAAGTAAGTAACGACTTGGTGTTACGAACAACCACAATTTTTTGGCAATGTAATATAAGAACATTTAATTCAAATTAACCCTTGATCCATAGTCTAAGACCGCACAGTGTTATTATCTGAGCTATAAGCTGCTCAATAATTTAACGGTTCGTAAGTTTAAAGTATCGGTGGCGAGAGAATGCAAAGCCGAGGTAGTTACAACTAGATAGAATAGTCGAAATAGTTACAATTAATAGAATCTAACCATGCAGGGAGCATTCCAGAAACAAAAGATCCAAAAACCTCAGCTTAAATACACGATCACCTGATTTTCATTCTGTACGGAAAGAAGAATTTAAAGTAAAGATCCAAATCATTTTAACTCGTTACTTTAAACTAAAAATCTTAACAAGCTCTTTTTCCCCCATACGACATATCAAGACGTTTTCACTTTGCAGTCGATTTTAAATTTCAACACTGTAGTATTATGCGTTTCAAGTGTGCCAGTTGTTCCGCCTCTGGAGCACAGCAAAGTGTTTAGTAGCAATGATTTCAATTTATATATTGCTTTCTGTTATACCGAAGTTTAAAGCTTGCCTGAAATTCATTTATATATATTTTATGTATAATCTATAATGATATATCAATTTATGTATAATCTGAATAATTGTTACTGACATACAGAAAAATTTCCCGCCTAATAAATTTTAAGTATATTCCTAAAATAATGATACACTTTGCAGAGTGTTCCTAGTAATTAATATGCGAACTTAAACTGAGACTGGCAAATCCATGTTTTTCCGCTATGAGTTTAACGAACGCTTAAACTCTTTCCGGCACGCTGCTTTTTAAAGTTGGAATTTCGATAAAAAAAAGGGTAGGCAGTTTAGTAAGGCCTAGAGAAATACACAAGTAAAATTTTGTAAAGATAGCACTTATCGTTTTTATTCTGTGGGTGTGCCCGAAGCAGGCACATTGATTTAACGGAGCTTCGAAAAGAGCGCTGAAACGAGCATTGCTAGGAAGCGCGTAAAAGAGAAAGAGATTTTGCCTTAGATTAAGAAACACTGGATTCTGAATACTATAGCAGATTTAGCATTACCCATGGTGTGTCACGGGGAGATCTGCTACTCTACAACCCCCTAAAAGGCTTGTGTCTTTTATCATAACTGGTTATATGATGATTACATGCTTATGAATGAAAAAAACGTAACTTGGGTATATGATATTCACATTATTTACATCCGAAAAAATAAACTAATATTATATCTACAATTTGAAATTATAAACTATAAAATAAAAATATAAATGTCTACAACTCAAAACTATTAAACGTAGCGCTAAGAAAACTTCTTTGAACCAAAGTGAAAGAGAAAAAGAGAACTGCTCTAGTGAAAAACCAAACAGCTAACTGATAAAATTATCCCTGACCTACAGAAAATCACCCCAACAATTTCTTGGTTGATAACCAACCTCCCCTCCCCCCCTGAAAAAAAGGGAAAAGGAGAAAGAGAAAAACAGAAAATGAACCACAGATGTGGACCCACCTTTCTATGTTAATGAGCTGACCGATTTGCTGCAAAGAAACAAAGATGCCTTTCAGTGACCTAGACTCGCAGTGAGCCCAGTGTGAGAACAGCTCGGTTCGCCGTTCGATTTTGGAGCAAGATTTCAAGGTAAAAATTTAAAACTAATATAGAATAAGGAGATTAGCATACAGCCAAAACATTAACATAGAAATTTCCTTTGAAACAATTCCTTTTATACCCTAAAAAAATCTGGAAGATTTCTTTGAAAAATGAGGTTCTTAAAAAACTAAACATGACTAAAATATATGTACTGGTTTGTGTTGAGCTTCCATCTACTATAAATAAAGAGGGTTCAGAGTAACCTATAGTAACCTTCAAATCCTTTTCCATTCAATTTTCTGTGCGGACAGAAGGAAATTTTTAGGTGTGTCAAGACCGGGCACACCGTGCTGCAAAGGATTAAGTAAGTATTGGATTAAGCATTGTAAATTTATTACGTCTCAGGCGAGCTAACCAAGCTAAATAAGTAGAATTCTTTAACTTTTCTTCATGATGAATGTAAATATTACTTAAATGTCTAAACAAAGTCCGTAATGGAATGTATGATCCAAGACAGATAGCCCTTGTGTCTTTTGTCATAACTTAAAGCTTGGGGTTACCAGCACATAAAATCAATAATTTTTTCAAACGAATTTTCTAAATAATATTAAGCTTCTTTTCATAAGCAATATAATGTTATCACAAGATTTTGCAGGATTATAGAATTTTCTTTTCATGAGAAAAGAAATAAAATTAACTATGTTTATTAAGCTGTTTTATATTTCGATCAGTTTTGTATGTTCAAGCTTCAGAACTTAGGACAGTTTAGCAATCGGTAGACGTCTTGGATGTTGCTTGATTAGTGTATGATCCCCTGTATCAATTATATGCTGTGTCAACTGGTTCGACCGTCGTCAGAAGATAAGCGGGAGGAAACGTCTTGAAATTCTTGACTGACACGTTCTGCATCCTTTTTTCTCTTCATGGCATAACTATTCATTCTGCAATAACTCCGATACTAGGCTCTCCGAAGACGCAGAGGACTACTGGTCATTTAACGCAGGTCATTGGAGTGCATGCTGCAACCACTTTACCTTTTCTAATGACTTGGCACCTTATCACTTTACATAGCCAACTTTCACCATGATACGGTCGATAAGTCTACGAATGCCGAGGATACCAATACTCCTTACGGGCTGCTACAGTTCTTAGGATATTCCTTAATGCCGTACAGGAAATTTTTATTTTCAGCTACGGATCCAAGTAGTAAAACTTTTGCTCTTGCTCGTACTGTGATATCGTCTTGGGCCATGATTTTTGTGGACGGATTCAAATCCTTCATCATTAATTCCAAACAGGGTTATATCATCAGAAGCAGAATGCAGTTTGTTATTTTTAAGGGCCAAAGAAAATTGTATTTCCTTAGAAAGTCTAATCCGAGTAATCAATTGTCTGTAATTCTTGCTACATATGCCGCATGATGGTAGGTGGCACTTCCAAACGTAATGCTAATATTTAATTTTCCGTCTATATCTATTTTATCCCGATACATTGTCTGGAGAATAATGCAAGGCGGAGTCCAGATGAGTTTACCTTCCAGTTGTTGATTCCAGTCTTTTCGTATGATGCTGATTTTATCTTCAGTATCTATGGTCATATTTACGTACTCAACACTATATACCACGTGTTTCATAAACTGTATGCCGAAATATGAACTGTACTACTGTTGTGTAGCGAAATTCTACTGCGAACCATGTAACAAAACACCAAACAAGCAATGAAACACGTACCATTATCACCCCCCCACCAACAAAGCACCAAACCGAAACACAAAAGAAATATGTATGTATATCTGTGAATAACTTATTGTATTTATCCATTCAACTGAAAAGTACCCGTGTAAAGTATATCTTAGTCAATATTGTCCGTAATGCAAATCATGCACTATTAATATGTAACTATTATGAATGCTGCAATGTAAACAAATGCCCGAGCATGGCGTTAGTGTGCCCCGTCAGGGTGCACTTCTATAGATGGTTAGTACAGCGGGGCAATAACAGTTTTGCCTATGGCGATGTTTTGGTGCCCCCTGTACTTCTTTCTGTCTGTCTGTCTGAAAAGAACTCCACTGATATGTCCCATGATGAAGATTCCATCACTACCGCCACTCATTGAAGAAATCTGAAGCACTTTAAGATGGAACTCACAATATCTGACAACCTCCGCTTTTCGAGATGGCCTCTAATTTGTTTCCTGCGTCCCTGCTGGGGAACGGTATATTTTCGATGTCTTGGGATGATCTGCAGCTCTTTCATACGGGGATTTCGACTCTGTAGTTCCAGCACTTTTGGGTTCGTTTTTTTGCACCTTCTGTTTCATCTCAAAGTATTGACTTGCCTGGTTAAATCGTTTAAAAAAAGTGGTTACTTGATTCGCTGGCTCCTGGACTTGAGCAGCTCTTACTAGGTGGCGGTCTCTACGAGTTGCTTGCTGTTCCACCTCGAATTACATGGCATACAATAAAACCGTTTTTAAATCTTTGACATCCGCGATTCGCAGGGCTTTCTGTATCTCAGCGTCCCAGATGCCATCGAAGTAGTACTTCAAGGACAATATCTGACTTGTTTTCTGTCCGGCAGTCCGAAAAGGAGAGATGAGCAGTCTTTGCACATTCTTGGCAAGCTTCTATTCGTTAGATTTGAACCGAAACCTGCTATAGCCTTTGAAAGACTTCTCGAAAAAGCGCAGCTCCAATGCACCGAATAGAGCTTTGAAATCTACCCTCCGGTTTTCGGGCAAAATTTGAAGGATATCCGGTTTTTTCTCAGATGTTTTCTTTCAGAGAAGCAAAAGGATGGCAGGCTTACCTTGGGAATCCCTTACATTTGCTTTCACTGCTACTGAGAACTTAATCTTATATACTTGCCAGAAGGTCGTTCCATCATATGTAGACAGCTTTAGAGAGGATCGGTCAGAATTGCTTTCTGCTGTCGCTATGAATTTCTTTAATCTGTCACCATCTTTGGCGACAGCAGAAACTCTGTAATTGATTTAGTACTAGACAGTAGAAACTTTCTCTTCGATTTGTTGTTTGACAGCAGTAACTCTTTCTCCAATTTGTTGTTCGGCAGCAGAAACTCTTTTTATCAATTTCTCCAACTTTAGTTTCAACCGTTTCTATTCTGCCTTCCATAACCAGGAATTTATTTTCTATTATGTGAAAGTAATTTCTCTTTTCATTTCCTTTTGATCTAATTCAATCCTTTCTTGAACTAAATTTATAATTTTGTAAGGATTATGCTAATTTTTTTAGCAGTTAAATTTTGAGTTAAACTTCCTTTCCTATCGCTTCTTAATTTCAACTTACCACTTCCGGCCAGAACGTAGTTTTAAATTCACGTTGGAATGCAAATTGAGGAAGAGTGGTATTTAACCGCGAAGTTCTCTCGCCATGGTTAAATTCATAAACGTGTTCTAATATTACTATCAAGTAGATTAAATAAGTTACAACTATAAAAATTTTATGGGTCAAATATCAGATAAGTTGTTCAGAGCGCATTAAAATTTTCATAAAAATATTACTCACCTGCCAAATATGCTTTATCAGAAATAATTTCACAAATGCAAATCTGGATGTATACTTATTGTAAGTAAGTTAAATCATGAATAGTGGTAAGTTACCGGGGGCTAGTTACGCCTCATTTCCAGATTATTGCTCTTAGTTCTGTATCTGTGCTAACGAAGGCAACACAAAAAATTGAGCTTATATACACAGATTAGTTATTAAATATAAATTTAAGACACAAAATTTTGAAATAACGAAAACTAAGTTGTTAATTTGCTTCGAGATATCATCGCTCCTCGGCATTTTAAGTAAGCTTTGACTACATGCAAAATACAAACTTCCTTACTGGCAAAAATATGATAGTGGTATAACTAGCATTAAATGTAACGACCAGTGATAAATACTTCTCACGTGTTCCCCACTGGAAAGTAGCATCGTGACTGTCTTGCGAATTGCTGTTTAAGGGGGGGGTTAATAGCTGCATTAAACTCTTTAATGTTATTTTCATTGTTATCGAAAAAGGCAAGAAAATGTGTAAATTCAAGATATTTATGCGCGCGACGTTGTTATAAAACTAAATCATATACCGCCAAATTACGATGTAACATCTAGTACGGACTAAGAGTAAGAACATTATTTTAAACTCTTTTATATGGAAGTTTGGCAGAGTATGATTTATCCGTATGCTATTCTATTGCGAGTTCAAATAACTTATTACTTTATATTTTCATTATAATTTGAAAGCTTAGATATTTAATCATTTTCAACACGCTCTTAAATAAGCTTTTGAGCTATGGGAACACTCGTGTCCAGGTGGGCTGAAGGGAGCCTCAGATTCTTAAAATTCTTACACTCTTAAATAATTAAAATAATTTTAAATCCAAAAATTCATATTTTAGATGTTATTCTCTATTTCATTTAATCTATAAACAAGCAAGAATAAACGAAAGGGTTATCTATAACTTACATAAAGAGAACCAAGCATTTATTTTTATTAACTCATTAACTTTAATAAATTATTTTAGATAACGTCCCTGAAAACTATCTAATCTCGTTTTGCGAAGTGTTAATTTCGTGATGAATACTGGTTAGCATATTTGTTTTCTCCTTGGAAAATTTTTGGGCAGCACTTCGGATTTGTTGAAACTTTTTAATTAATGGATGTGATTGCTCTTCCTTCATATCTTTAGCTAAAAACATCATTTGAATAAATTTACTAAGGATTTAGCGAATTTACAATTTAAATGTCTTCAGATGAATCCGTCACACAGAAATTATTTTAATTAAAGTAATATTCATAATTGAAATATTTTGAATATATGTGCTCTGGTACTTTTTTCTAAATGTCGTGTCTGCATGGAGGGGCAGAGAGACGACTTTTGATATTCATTATATCAAAACATTCTTTAATAGATTTTACATTAATAAATAATTCCTAATGAAAATCCATCTTGAATCGCCGATGTGAAAACTTTATTAATATAATTACATCGCAAGGCGTCTTAACTCATCCAATTAGAATTTTGTTCTTGATATATTTTTAGAATCCCTTTAAATTTTCAGAAATAGCCTTTGATCCACCGGCTACAAAACCGAAGTAATAATTAGGGGGGGCGAAATCAATTTTTGAAGAAGTTAAATTCGTTTCGTCATCTCAAAGATATGCAAACTCATTTAAAAAGTAATAGAATGTTTTTGTCATGAGATCGTGTTTCTTTCGAGATATTGCATGCTTTGGTTTGTGTTTTGCATAGTTTTCCGAACTGAATCTTTTATTACAAACTTATTAGAATATTAAGCCATGAAAGATAATTTCACTTAAATTCCTTTTAACACTTTCATTCCTTCCAAAAATCACGATATATTTTAAATTCATGAAAAAAGTTAGTTTCTTAATTGAGTAATACAGTTCTGAGTTGCGTTTTTCAGAAATAATAGTATTTGATAAACAAATTCTATAAATCAAGCTGCTGCTAGTTATACAGAAAAATATTAGATAAATATGTCTGCAAAATAATAAAAGACATGTGAGAGTTTAACTGTCATGTTATGTACAATCAATCATATGTTGTAAGTCGAAATTAATGTAATGCCGTCATTTAAAAGATCCGCGACGAAAAATACTTTAGATCACAAATATCCATTCTAAAGTCCATTAATGAATAGTGTTGCAACTTGTTAACACTACAGGCAGTGCGTCAACACTTTTCAATTAATCGAAAATTGAATTCAGGGGTTTTCAAATGCATTTAGCAGCAGCTCCTGATTTATATATCACAAAGGTCAATTATGTGACTTTCTACTAAGCATTGATGAATTGTGACATTTAAGAAGTTCGCTAAAATCTCAATAACTAGAGCTTTCTAAGTGTTTGATGGGAAATTAAATTCACTACGATCTTACCAATGCTCCCATAGCCCAGGCTGCTAACACTCTTTTACAGGCTTCGAGTACTCGAGGCTTAGCTGGGCTTGTACAAGGCCCATTCCAGGGAGGTAGCTTCTTGTTAGCATCGACTTCGCAGTGGAAAACTTCCATGTGATGAACAACGCCTTGATTTTCTTCTTGAATTGCAGCAGCATACTAAAAAACAAAAACAAGTCAATATACAACTTTTAAAGTTCCTTTCCTATCAGCTATTGGACTTCAGAATTCAAGTCATATTGTATTTTATTCAAGAAATTACATTGATATGGAATCATTCATGTTTGCTAGACTATCGCATTGCATTTTTAATTAAATATTGAGTTAAATACTAATGTTTCTTTCCAATGTATTTAAAATTTATTATTAAACTCTTCATGTGAAAAATCAATACATCGCATAAAAATCGATTACAAATATATTATGGACTATAATATTTTATAAAAGTAAATAAACAGATTGAAATTAAGCAAGTATATGATGCGTACATTTTTAGTTTCTGAAAAAAATAAATAAAATCTCGAAGTACAGAGCCCTACTGTTTGATTTATTTTAATACGGTGTTAACCAGTGTATTATAAAATATGCATTCCAATCAATGTTATAAGATGAGTTACGTTAAGTTACAGGAAATCAACAGATAAATAAAATTTCTTATGGACGTTCCCAGTTAATTAAGAAAAGTGTAGAAGTTTCTATTAAAAGGTGCTAATCAAAATAATAATTTTATAACTAGTGAATCATTTCCTAGACTGTCCTTTATTTTTTCCTTATAACGCTTGAAAAACTGCTTGTTTTCGTTTAGTGTAGATTTGTAAATGACATCTCACAAAATAAATTGTGGCAAGTATCAATCGTCACAAAATGTGCAGGTAGGTTTTAAGTAATTTAAGTGCACGACTTGTAATAAAAAGAATAACATATAAGGCAATTTCGAAAAAAATTTTTTTTCAAATTTCTAGTATAATGCGCCGACTTCCTTTGAGCATAAATGCGGTATTACATAGATTAGGTGAATGTTCTGAATTAAGCTTGATGTTACCTCTCCAAAACGATCATCATATGAATTGCATGACTAAAAATTTAATTCTGTAGCTTTCTCGTCTTGTAAATCTAAGATAAAAAAAAAATAAGTGACTTAATTCACAGAGGACTATGATGATGCACGAGTGCTGTCATTTCCTATAACTTATTTTTAATGATTATACACATTAGTCCTGCTTTATTTTTTTTTTTACTTTCACACGATTACTGCACTAACAATCACTTGAATATAGGTTTCTGACTGTTACATGTAGTAGAAAAATAGGTATAATAATTTCATTTGAAGCAATATATTACAGCAATCAAAATTCTGCGCAATATTTATAGAATATTAAACATCCTGTTGAAGCAATAGTTGAGGAAATAAATCATTTGTTCTAAAATTTATCACTTGCCAAATCAATGTGGTATGTGCGATACACTGTGCGCTTTTATGCGCAGTCTCATTGCACATTCGTGGGATTTTTACAAGAAGTTCCGTATCCAGTACGCGGCAAACTGATCCTATGCTTAGTATGTTTGACCGCATAATATATTTTTCAGCTTTCGTATTATGATGATATATTTTCATTTTCGTATATACTGCAATGATTTCAGCATTTCATATTAATCATGAATAACAGTTTTCCCAAAATCCAGCACTCTCAGCAAGGAGGTAGTTTCTGCCCATCAAGTTAGCTGTACAAAATTATTATACAGTGGAAATCTCAAGAATAAGGGTTGGTTGTTCTGAGCGTCTAAGGACTAAGTGGATGAGAACTCTGAGAAATCGTCTTCGGGCCAGTTCCTAGCTAGCTAATTTTTTCTATTTACTCGACTTAAAGGTAACAAATTTCCAAAAAGATCTCCTCTATGAGTGTTTCCCTTATCACATAGGGAGCACTCAAATACTTTTCCATAATAACTACACTATACTGAGATAAACACATTGCGTGTACACTCTAAATTGTGTTTCTTACACACAATACAGTAAGCGGATTTTAAAGGACTTGTATTGCAAATCGACAGGATACATGGAAATTTTATAAAATATTTCCTCGTGAGTGAAAGTGATCAAATTTATAGGCGAGTGATGGTGTATCTATTTGCCCAACAGAATTTTTTTGTTACACAGAGGGAAGTATAAATACCCTCTAAAACTTCTATGCACCAATTAGTGATCCAAATAAAGCCAGGAAATGTCAATATAACATTTCAGAAGGGGATTTGGATTTATTGAACAATGGCAAATCACACTAGTCAGGAGGGGAGGAATGCATTTATGGAGCCGCTTTCTCAGGAACTAGTTTGTATTCATGGAAGTTTGTATCCATTAGGAAAACTCTACAAACCTAATGCAGCTACCTTGCTCGCCTGGTCAAACTGCAAGTTTTCTTTGACTTTGCCCCTCAGAAACTAGTATTAACCAAAACTAGTTCCTTTTTACATTAGTCATTAGAAAGGCTCAAATTTAAAATGATACCCAGATAATTTAAACACAGTTTATTTCTTCAGAAACAATATATAATTACACTGAACTCTCTCGGTTACAATCTCTCTAAGGTAACTAGTGTTTCTGAGAACATAAATAAACATGGTTATTTAACATAATCTTTCTAAGATGATAACATTGATAGAAGACTATAAAGGAATGGAATCGTGAATGGTCGCTTTTAAAATGATTCTTTATATTTAAAATTACATTTAGTTATTTCTTATAAGTACTTTAAAAATACTGCTTAATTTTTTCGGATATAATTTGTCTGAAGATGTTTTAGTTATTGCTTGATTGTTTGTAATATATGGTGAACTAACTACCTCATGGCAATCGCCTGCCTAAGAAACAATCTCTCAAAATGCTTAGTTGTGCTATGAAAAATCTGCGAACAATGGTCTTCAATCTCACTGCTTTAAGCCGAATATCATAATGAAGAATAAATTAACTAAAGCCGGTTTGGTCGCTTTAGAGTGGGTTCATTTTACCTAACTTTCCCATTTAAGTATTTTTAGCTTAATTTAAAAAATATTATTTAATTTTTGGAATATTTTTTATTTGTGCCGACATCTTCTGGAAATTATCAGTATATCTATGAACACGTGTAAACTACGATATTAAACGTCACCTTTCTAAGATCCGCAAAAGATCTCCGCAGATGATCCAAATCATCTAAAACTATGGGCGGTGGCTTAGAGATGGTTCACTGTATTTTCTTACTTTAATTAAATTTCAGATATGCATACAAAAGGTATAGATAAATACATAAAGCTGTAAACTACTGGAAGAGTTAATGTCTAGCAATTGAAATGGCTTCTGGTATATAATATTCCTGACATATAAAATTAATACAAGCCAGTTTCCTTTGAATGCTCACCATTAATACATCTTCCTCTGAGTAGAATATACTTGTGTGTTTATCTATTATGAATAAATACTTTTCGTATGAAAATTTGGTTGTAATTTTTTATCTGTAATTAATTGGAAATTTAATTTCTCAGTCCATAATGAAAAATAAATGCAAACAATATGCTCTGAATTAGCTGAATCATAGTGAAATATATTAGCTATTGAAATACATTTATAAATCGGTTTATTCCAATTACACCATTGAAAATAATGAATATGCTAATTATTTGTATGAATACTTCATCCCACCAAATCAAATGTATGGCAAAACATTTCTTTCATCTTACACTCCAGAGGAGAAAGAGAAATGGCTTCTCTATTTTGATTTGGGCGAATATGTGGCTTAGCATAGGTGCCAACAAAGTTTACATTAACTTCGTATTACATTTTAATTCTTAAAATTTAGGTAAGTAAATAAACATGTAAAGGATGTAAATGCCATATATATTCATAACAGGATTTCAAATTTATTATATGTGTAATTTAGTATTTGATCTCAGCGTGTAGAGACATTAGATAATTTGGAAGCAGGAAAGATTAACAACCGCCTTCGCCGGGAATCGAACCACGGAACTTTAAATGATATTTTACACACTTCTGGAGCATTTCGCCTGACTTGCTTACAAAAGAAGAAATTCCCTACAAGAAATAACACTCATCTTGTCACTGAAAATATTTCTTGCGTAAAACTTACTGTAATATATCAAGCATTAATAATCCGAAATTCTTCACTTCCTATATAGAACCTATATAAAACGCGAAGATCACCTTTGATATTTGTTTCCATGAAAAAAAGTCTGTATTATTGTTATGTTGTAGATATATTAGGTATTTTTTGGAAGCAGGCAAGATGAAAAATGAGCAGTCGCCTTCACCGAAAATCGAACCACGGACCTCTGGAATACCGGCCCAGCATGCAGAACCACTACACCACGAAGGCACGCTAGGGAAGGCGGGAGAAATACCTTACATACTCCCCCTTTTAAAGGGCGACTGGGGTTTTTAGGGGACTCAATCGCCAAATCCTGGGTGTGGAGAATTCTCACCAACACCCGTTTTTAGTTCGGTCTCCACTGTAGCGACATTAGGTAATTTGGAAGCATTAAAGATGAAAAATTAACAACCGCCTTTGCCGGAAATCGAACCACGGACCTCTGAAATACCGGCCCAGCGTGCAGAACCACTACACCACGAAGGAACGCTGGGAAGGCGGGAGAAATACCTTACAAGCATTGGTACATTTGTAACACTATTAACTAAAATAATTTCAAACATACGTTTTATTAGCTTGAAACAACTGGTGTTTATTTATCCGTATTTATTCTGAAATATTAGCAAAACTAAGCATAGTGAGACCTGTTGTCCCAATAACCTAATTAGTTCTACTTTGTTACAGAAGTTGTCTACATCAGACTTTAAATGATTAATTTATTCCAAAGTTAATCAATTATAGCAAAACGTATAAAAAATGTCTGCCTTGGGAGAGGTATATCTCGGCAGATTTTCTAAGATTTTTAGAAAGAGATTAAAATGTTATGTTATTTATTATTAGTATTGTTAATTCTTTGCCCAAAGAAAAGAAATGTAATTTAAATCGCTCTTTTTAACCCAATTAATCAAGGAAATGATGTATCAACTAACTAAATATATGTGTGTAAGATATAACAAAATACGATGGCTGCTTTAAGAAATGATTAGCAACCTCAAAATTAACTAATTAGCAACGACTTCG